CTGAAAAATGGTTCGTCTAGTATTATTACAGGACGAAATGAGAGCGCTGTGATGTAAACATGCCAAAGGCTAAGTGAAATAGGGGAACAAGGTTTGCCAAGAATGTAGGGCTACAGCGACATGTTCATCGTTAAGAAAGACCGCATACAGTGAACTTACCACGCTCTTAATGGATGAGCATGTTGCTCGATTTGCTTGTAGTGTTTCGTCACACGTCAAGACATAGGAATTGGCCCATATATTGTCTGAAGATTACAGAACCGCCCACTGAACCTTGTGAGCTTGTAGTCCGCCGCACGTTCCCTATGCGATGTAGAACGACAAGGCACAGTGACAGAGAGTGGCTCTGAAAAAGATGTTGCACCATACGCTAAGCAATGTAAAATGTAAACGAAAGTGGAAAGCGATGGAAGACCTGATCCAGTGCTATGACAGGGGACGACTAATGCACGCACGTCACTTAGTGACCTAGGGCGGTTTCGAGGACGGCGGATTGCGGCGCATGTGTGCTGTGACACTGAAAAAGAGGTCATCCTTACAATTTGAGGTTACGTTTGGCTAGCATTCACGAACGCCTGGTAAAAATGTACCTGTCAGCGGGAGGAGGGCTAGGAGCAGCGATAACCATGACGTTGTGGGCGGCGCATATTTACTTTGGCTATGAAAAGGACGTCACCTTTGAAATGCAGCCTTACCTTTGTACTTGTATCAATGCTGAACACTCAAGTGGGGCTAATTTGTAGGAAAATAGACAGGGGCAGGGTTCACTTTGACGGCTGAGCACGTTATTATGGCTGTGAAAGGGCTGCGTAAATTAAATGGGAGAATACCTGTATCTAGGTTTCAGAGGTGCGTCGTATTAAGGAGGCCGTACCTTTGAGGAGACGCAGCGGCAGCGGTAAGTAGGATGACGAAGGGCGGCGCTTATCACTCTGACTGTGAAAGATAACTGCCCCTGGGAATTCAATGGTACCTGTGCCTATTAATCAACGATGCATCACGTGAGGGTGGCAGCACGTGGGAGTAGGCGCAGTGACTGAGTTAACTACTAGGGCAAACGGTGGCTTTAATTCCTTAGGCTCTGAAAGAGAAGTGATCATTGAAATCCAATGGTACCTGCGGCTATGAAGCAATGATGCATCACTTGCCGGTAAACGTATGTGGAAAGTGGCGCATTGCCGCTGATACGTGATAAGGTGCTAGCGGAGAAGCAACGGTGGATGTAAATGGTTCCGGACATTGGGAAGCCGGGCGCAATAAAGGTGACGGACGTTTGAACTAATCATAAATGTTCACCACTAGTTGAATGAGTGTGTATACAGCTCGGAACCCAGCGAGGGATAATACAGAGAAATGGTTTCGCCAGCCTCATGAGAGGCCACCGTGACGGGTCAACTTCAATGACCCTGACCAAGCAGTTAGATACTGTGCGCCTTCTTCCTGTTGTTGTTTATCTTGTTATATAGATATTATTCATTAGGTTGTTAGGCTTGTTGCCTGGATATTTTGGCGTGCTATAGTTTAAGGTCCTTAGATCAAATATACTGCAAAACAGTGTTCCTGGAACACGAATTATGAAGCTGTGCTATTCCGTAATGACTAACAAAAATGCAATAAAATGTAAAGCCGCCCGAGCCAAAATCCGAAGCAAATGTAGAACTACTCATTCGGATACCGCAGTTTCTGTCGAGCAAAGCTCTGCCTCATGCACAGCAAATGCGGTTAAGGCAACCAAAAGTCCTGTTGAAAAAGACAACCTGAATAAACTGCGCCCTGGCATTGTCCTTCTTATAAACCCGCTTGCATATGCACTTAACAAAATCAGGGCACCGCAACTAAAATAGCTACCCATAAAAAGGAAGCGGCCGTTACTAAAACAAAGCCAGCAAAACTTATGCCATTGGCCCAACTCGCAGGAATAAGGGGAAAGGGCAATGCTGAAGCGCTCAAAGATGCCGGCGCCCTTCGTACTACCAGCACTACTGAGATAAACGAGCAAACACGCCATGCCCGAAACGGGAAGGTCTTCAACTTGCTTGACAAACTTCCTTTGGTGAAAGTCACCCGCCTACTTACGTCCACGCGTAATATCCCTCCTGACACGTGCGTGAGTAAACGGCTCAGAAAATCGAAGATTAGTCGTAATTGCCTTAATCCTATAGCCTTCACAACTCAAGTACTGGCTACACGCTTCATAGCAAATCGATCCATCTTATGAACAAAAGCAAACATTAAGCCTAATTATATCAAGCCTGATCTAACGCAGCTTCAACGAGCTTTCCTACCGGACACTAATACCAAAGCAAGACGATAGCCTCATGATTCGTTGCCGATAGCCAGAGCTACCGCTTGCTCTACGATAAGCGCTAACGTGGATCTGGACTTAACCCCCTGCGTCACGCGTCCATGACGGCATTACATACCGATTCAGCCCCCACAGCCCTGATAAATAAAATGTCAACCAACGTCCCAGACTCTTCCCAGCTAACGACAGCAGAAGCTGTGTCAATGCCTAACTCATCCGACCTAGTGACACAGATTCCGAACCTATCAATGTAGACTTCCCGCTAATCAACTCCCTTCCCTCTCCCTGGTGCAAAACCGAAACCACCCTCACAACCCAACAGACTACCAACAAAGGTCAGCAGCCGAAAAACGGCGCGCCTCGTATTGGGAAACACTCCCCGCTGATGCATCGCCACAACGATGCTAAGCGTACTCATGCAATGTCCTCGTCGCACAAACGGACAGTTGATAAGCACCAATCAACCTCTGTACCAATGGATGATGTGCGGTCGAAATCGTTCCCATTACAAATGCCGCACTCTATGCAGGGTTTGACCGAGGCTTTCTAACACCCTACACTTAATCTTTACGCAAGGTGTCACTGATGCAGTTGCTGGTATACTAGTTATTGTACATGGCTGCGAGCACAAGGTGGTCAAACTCATATTTACACTTTCTACTCCAAACTGCGCCACTGCTTCTTCTAGCAAACAGTTTCGAATGTTCAACCACATTTACTGGGACAGCTTTGAGATATTAGTGCGGTCTGCGAACTGGGACTAGTCCTTTTTAGCCACTGATGTACACGCAGCCGCACACGTCCTACATCTAAATCTCTTCAGCTGCCGAGATGTGATCGCCCCACTCAATTGCAGAAGCCGCTTACAGAACACAGCGAAAGCTGCACAGGCCTACGGTGTACTTAAGAAAATCAAAAACATGCTCCATCTATACTTCAAGACTAAGGATTTCTACATCCTTGTTCGCATGAAGGAAATCAAAACCAACTAGCAAACTGCGCAGGAATCAGCCAAGATTGCTGAAGAAGATGCTGTCCTTTGATATAACAATAAAACCAAGTCACTCAGTCAACCACTCCGACAACCAACGACCCAAAAATATACGCCTCTTTTCTCATTCAGACTGTCTGACACATCCGTTATAAACTATCTTTCAAAAATATGTGAGTCCCTCAATAGATGCTTCTGCAATTTTTCACTGGCACTAACGGAACCTCACTTGCTATGCCAGCTAGGCGCACTAATGACACCCGACACTATTCGAGTTTGACCTAATTTCTGTCACTCGAGTAATCAGCTCAGTCAAATGGTAATAACATCCTTGTCCAGTTGGTCTCCCCTCTGCGTTGATGATACTCGGTGGCCAGGACATTTCAGTTTTACATCTCAACCTATTCAGGCTTTCCATGACAAACGGGGTTTATCCAACCACATAGAAACGTGCCACCGTCATCCCCAAACACAAAAAGGGCAATCAGCAGAACATGGAAAACTACCGCTCCAGCAGCCACACGCCTATAGCTTCAAGAGTAATGGAACGAATAGTCATAGAAACGATGTTCACCTTCCAGCCAAACTCTATGGGACTGCTACCAGGCTACTGGGATGTTAGCGGTCTAGGCTCCGTCGATCCAAAGCACTTCCTCCCTCACCTTGATATCCTGCTGAACTTGTTCGCCCTACGTTGATATAACCACTTCTATCTCTGACCAGTCCAATCCTACTGACTCCACTTACCTTCCCAAATGAACCATAGGACTCAATCACAATGCGCCGACCAAGTCCAACCTCGGCAGCTCGGTGTTCTTCTCTCCTACTTCTGCGACGCTGCCTGCTATGCTCGGAAGACTGAACGCTCCGTGCCCATTACCTCTCGAGCCCCGTGGACTTTTCCACACCTTATAAGCAAACCTCTCTCTATCCGGACCGTCTTCTCTCCTTATGGCCCCTCTACTATCATTTCTTCTCTAATCGGATTGCGAACTCTTAGTGCCTTGTAATAACCTAGTCTCATCTGACCGGTATGAACCTTTGACCTTTTCCAGACTAGCAAGATATACCGAGCTAATCTCTCTAGACCAACAACTATGTCTTGCTTACATTGACAGCACGATTTACTTGTTTACCCTTTATTAATATAGGCACTTCCATCAGTAACCTGTACTCTCACATCTTCAATCGGATGACCGACGCTTAGTGCCATGCCCTTCTTTGTCATCATCTGATCAGTGTAATTTTCTGGGACTACTACGAGGCCTCCGGATGTGTCGACTTCTCGAGTCTCGTCTGTTTGGTCTCCGGCTTTTAGAGTTCTCTCAGATTACCGGGATATTACCGGTGCTATTTCAGCATTGAACGTTTCATACTTCGCACGAGAGCGTCCTTGGCTCACCACACTTTAGTAGTAAACCTTTTTCATCCTGACTATCGTCTCTTAATTGCTCTCATGAGTTACTCTTTGCACTGCCGTCCGCATTCTTCCGCTCATAGCTGATTCCTTAAATTTCCTTTTCTTCTTGGAACTTTGCTTGATTTTTGCTTGAACTTGAACTTCTTTCTACCTAGTAGTTGTAGTCTGAGGCACACCAGCGACGTGATGTAACGAACGCGCTTGCAAATCATGTATACTAAACAAAATTACATAAATTTTAATGTATCATAGGCACCGTTGCGCGCCACCAGTCTGTGTTTGTGCTTCTTGCTTCGTTGCTGTCTTTCTGTTTGGCTGCCTCTTGTCCGTTGCCCGTTTTCTCTCGAGATTTCCACAGATACATCCGCCAAAACAAGAAGGTTTATCCACTGGGAATAGTCGACCCACTTTCAATAGCCAGCTGGATTACATGCTTGTTCTTTACTCCGGGAGATGAAGAACCCACACATCGTTCCAAATGGAGCTCTTTCCGCCATTCTGGAGAAGCTACCACCACGGGGTCTAAACAAACGGGTTTAGCTCGCCTCGTACTCACAGTAGAACAATTTACTCACCTGGAATAATTTAGTTACATGGATCCACTGTTCCACAACCGGAGACCGACAATTCTGGCGTGATTACATTCACTGCCTCAAACATTCCGATTCTCCAGTCACCTGGAGCTTTTCTGATGTCATTTCACGGACAGCACTGCGCGCGCATAAGCGGCTTTTCCGATGATTTTTCCTGGAGCTCTCACTTGGTTATGGAGACAATTACACTTACATTTGAAGGAAATACTTGTCCACTTCGCGGAGAATAGCATTTATTCCTGTTTTGGACATATTCAGACACAAGAAACAACTGCACTCACCGTCCCTATGACAAGTCCAGCATGGATAGCTGAACACGGGCTGCGAGCCGGACAACATAATAGAAAAAGCCGGCCTCTATTAACAATGTGGTTACTCACCCGCATCATTATCATTCGACTCAGCGACTCTTTTACATCATTGACTGGCTTCATCGACTATTGCCGGTTCAGTACTAAGCCATTTGGCCAACCAACGAAAAATTTTGGCTGTCAACCGACTGCGAATAATAGAGTGCAAAATCGGTCTATACGATGTATAGCCGACTAGCACTACAGTTCAACGGAAGCTACGACAGTGTTCCAGGACGTGGTGGGTTTTCGCCTGGCAAGCGTTCTCCCTATAAAAAGCCACAAATGTCCGCTTAACAACACTGCAACGTGGCGGATGTGACTCGCCACAAAATAAAGTCACTGCTATATCTTTCACACTGACGCAGTCCTCAGCCTCCAACATCGAACCTGTGCAACTGATTTTACTATGAAGAATGCTTTAGTGGAGTACCGATCATCCCGGCTTCGTAATGGTCATTGATTGCACTAAACCTTGTTCGGGCTCCTGTGCTCATGGATCACTACATGTCAAATTTACCCCCCACTTGTATCTTGACGCAAAAGTTTTTGCGCGCCACGGCGCCATTATGATCCTTGGTCTGACTATTACTTGACAATATGCTCGCACTTATGGACTACATCTTTTCGTTTATTCCTTTCATTGTAACGAAATGTTTTAATATTCCAAAGAAGCTGTGCTTGTATGCATATTTGATTATGCCTTTTAGAGGTGTGTCTCGTTTTACAGAGAATATACTATTTATTTATTTATTTATTTATTTATTTAACCTTGTCAATCGACAACAACATGGATTTCTGCTGTATAAATCCTGTCAGCCCTGCTAATTTGAGTTCCTCAAACATATAACTCAACAAGTTGGCAACAAGCAAACCCTAGCCATCATCCTCCTTGACATGACAGAAACATTTGACAGAGTACCACATACAGAACACTTGATGAAGCTGGAATCATACGGTATCTCAGGCAACCTGCACACTTGGTTCTCACCATATCTTACAGCTCGCTCACAGTCAGTACTAGTTAGGAACTTTATGCCACTTCCAAACCACGTCAAACGTGGCGTAAATCAATGAAGCGTTTTAGGCCCACTACTTTTCCTGCTCTATTTCAGTGACGTGTTCCAGCTTGTTAACCAAAGATCACCCTACCACTTTGCCGACGACATCAAAATTTTCTTTCCATTTCATCTGTCATACTTCTACACGGCCCTCTTCCAAATATTATACGACTTAAGAGCTCTAGCTGCATGGTGCGAAACATGAAAGTTGGCATTCACAACAGCACAGTGCAATGTCCTTACATACAGATACACCATGCCACCCGATAGCTTACTACTACAAGGCAAGCCATTAAAGAACTGCCCGATATCGCGGGACTAACGCATGCACTACGCCTGTTTGCTGAACTTCGCGGAACAAGTAGTTTATTCCGCAGTTAAAGCACGCTCTATCATGGGATACATCCTTAAAACCATGGCAATACAAGAATCTAGAACTGCGATCTACAAAACATGTGCTCGGCCTCTGCTAGACAACGGTCCTATAGTATTCACTAACGGCGGAAAATGCGATGGAACAACCCTCGCAAAGGTGCAGCGTACCTTCACAAACGTCTCCTGGGGCACTCAAGTCTCAGCTATCATGATCGATGCTACACACTTAATGTCGAACCGTTTTGGCTGCGCCGACTGAAAACCAACCTCGCTTTCCTATAATCGCTTATTAAGAATCCCAAAGGGAACCCACTAACCCCTATCGCAGACTCATATATCACTTCCTACCCCCTACGTGATAGAACCCACTCCATTATCCTACCAAGAACGCGCAGCATTCGCTCCAATTTCTTCCCCTACGGATACGACCATGTATGGAGTAGCTTACCCATCACAATAAGGGCATCCATGAATATAAACCAGTTTCACTTCTCTATTGGAAAGTACCTCGCTTTCACACACGTTTCCAAACTACTGAATATCAACTGTCCTGAAGCCGAGCTTTTTGAAGCTGGGCCAGACCACTTATAATGGCCACTTACCTTCCCACACTACATCCTCCTCGACTCCTAATATTCCTATCAGAGTACTTCCTCCAACAACCCCTTACGTCTTCCTTCATCTAGGCCTCCGTCAAAGGATACCGAATGCCTCTGCATTCCCTCAAAACTCCCACATCTAATTAGCTGGAAACATCGGCTTCTGGCTAATTGCGTCAACTTAACTGGCTGCTACCTAGATGGCGAAGCCGGCGTGCGTAGGACTTCAAGTGCTAGTTGATGTTGCCCAAATATATCCTAAACGCCAAGCTAAAGCCATTCTCTCTTATGCTTGTTACCCTAAGAATCATGGCTACATTAAAAATTCACTTTTAATCGCGCTTCTATTTACCGTATGTTCCCACTATTGCTTTTACAGGTTTGGCTCTGGCTCTCCTCTCCCATTACGGAATGTTTGTGTCACATACTTTCGCTGACCTTTTGCCGCATTCTATGACCCTGTTGATATAAACTAATGACCAATCTTCTTATTGGAATGGCTACCTCAGGCAACTGATAGCAAGTCCTAGCTCCTTTGTCTGTCGATCGTTCTTAACTCAGTCTCTGTTTAGAAGCAGCTAGTGGTCGCAGGCTCCTAGCATCTCTGCGCATATCTGGAGCTTGATAAGAGCCACTTTCTTTTATCTCCAACATTCGTGTTTTGCGACCGCCTGCGTCACATACATTTGCTGTCTGTGGACATATTCTGGGCCACGTTAGGTATCCAATAGCCACTAGAAGGCTTCACCACAATGTCATTGCCAGCCGTCGATACTCTCGCTCCCATATTACCAATATCAGTTCTTCGTATTACCTACGTCGTCACTTTTCAGCTGCAGTGATTCATTGTAGTTAGCATACATTTTTGCGCTAGGAGCCACTCCTAATCTCTCCAACACTTACTCGCTTGTATTGTTTGCATCACACCGCTGTTCGTTTACTTCTTCTGTCACTGTAAATAAATAAATAAATAAATATTTTATTCTCGACAAAGCGAGACACGCCTTTTAGGCATGATCAGCACATTGCATTATTGTACATGATAGCCGAATAAGCAGCACCAACAGTGGGAGTAGTAAAGTTGGAGACAGTAGTGTGAGCCCATAGAGCCCAAAGGTTGTATGTAGTCTATGTACACAGAATGCGAGAGGTAAAAATAGTGAGCAGATCACTTATATGGTATGTTGATGAGGAACTAGTCCGATGAGGTCCAGTAAGCAATGTAGGTCAGTGAGTGAAGTATGAGGAAACTGGTGGAAAATACTTAAGAATAGTGGTATGTCACTAGTCAGATATGTAGGCGTGTTCATGCGAGAGCCGATATATGCACAGAACTTGTAAATGTGGTGTCAATCAACTTGCCACTGGTAAGTAGTAAGCTTAATCCGAATGCCTTTGATAGCCACTGATACTCTCTATCTTTGCGCCATTATCTGTCGCTCTGCTTCTCTTCCTCGCTACTGCAGCAATTCTCCGTATGCTCCATGTACCTGTTGCGCAGACCTTGAGCTTGCTTGGATACACTCCTTTTCCCTCCACTATACTTTCTTCTGGAATGTCTGTATCAAGTACCTCTGCTGGCTTGTTGATGCGTTCAGTGACCCTTTAGACATACACTAGTGACCAAGCGTCCGATTGGAATGGCTACATCTGTTTGCTGATAGTCTTTCCTAGCCTCACCATCTGTCGTTCGTCTTAAATTCGGCACCTCTGTTTAGCTGTAGCTAGTGGACGCAAGCTCCATGCGTATGCTATTATCCAGTGCTTTTTAGGAGCCACTCCGTATCTCAATAACCATTGACCAGTTACATGCCACTAACCTTAAATATTCCTGCAGCTCTTTCCTCTTGCCTCACTCGCTTGACCCGCAGAGTGTACACAACCACATCGGACTAGTTCCTCATCAACATACTCCAAATTTGTGATCTGATTCCTTATCTCTACATCTTGCACTCTGTGGACAGGGACTTCGTACAATCTTTAGGCCGTATGGGCCCACACTACTGACTCCATGTGTACTACTTCCGCGCTCGGTGCTTTTAATCATGCTATCATGTACAATGTTACATATATGCTGTTCATGCTCAAAGGACGTGCCTCGCTTTGTCGAGAAGAAAATAGTTATTTAGTTAATATCCGAACCCAATATTTCCGCTGGCCTACCGTCAATTGACCTAAATGAATCTCGCGGCAACCTATTTATTTTCACTTATTCTGCGCTCCCTATCGTATTACACTAGCTGCTTGCTGTTCATGCACCTCGCAATGAGCACCAGTATTCTAACTCTCTTTGACTGCGAATAACAGAATATAAAGTTCGTCGTCAAGCAGCTTTGCCAGTTATACATTATTGTTCAAAATGCTTTATGGCAGTGTTGCAGGACGTGGTGGGTTTTTGCCTGGCAAACGTTCTCCCTATAAAAAGCCACAAATGTCTGTTTAACAACACTGAGACTTGGCAGATGTGACTCGCCACTGAATAAACTCACTGCTCACAACTACATACTGGAAAGTCCACTAGGCTCATATTCTAACTTTTTCCGACACATGTAAGAATATGATACGCTCTGTCCACATGCACCGTTGCCTTACACTATTAGTGCCTTGACCGTTTCAATTACACACGATTGAATCCGAAGTTCCGTCGTGAAAGGCAACTGCTTAAAAACCTTGATCATGCCTGATTTGGGGTGTCCCAATAAATTTGAGAATAAGCTATTCACTTAGGTATTTACTGGAAAGTCAATTAGACTCATATTCCAACTTTTTCCGACACAAGCAGGAATATGATACTCTCCGCCACACTGCCCCGTTTCATTACACTTATAGTTCCATGACCGTTTCAACTACACACGATTGAACTCGAAGCATCGTCGGGATACACAACTGCTTTTAAAACTTGATCACGCCTGATTTGGTGTGTCGCCATATATTTGAGAATAAACTATTTATTT